TCTAGGGTTGAGGGTTTAGGGTTTAGGGCTTAGGGACTTTAGGGTTTAGGGTTTAGGGTTCAATAACCTGCCAATTTCGGGGCGTTGGGTTCAAGTTTAGAGTTAATGGCTGTCCTGATATAGGCCACAATACACCAGGGTCCCCGTAAGGATCACAAGACATGCACTTCCACTAGAAACCTAGCACGCCTGACAAACAAGTCACAAGGGGACATCCTGAACCCGGAATGCCAAAGGCCAAACACTAACACCCAAAATGAATCAAGCACCCCCCCCCCATAGCTCAGGATGAATTCAACGATGACTGAGACCTGAGGACGTTGTCTGGGCTTTTGGGGTGTTGGGTTACACAAACCCTGCACCCTAAACTCTAAACTCTACACCCTAAACCCTAAACCCTAAACTCTAAACTCTACACCCTAAACCCTAAACTCTAAACTCTAAGCTCTACACCCTAAACCCTAAACTCTAAACTCTAACCTCTACACCCTAAACCCTAAACCCTAAACTCTAACCTCTACACCCTAGACCCTAAACTCCAAACTCTAACCTCTACACCCGAAAATACATCCCGGCTGGACAGACCGCGGCGCGATCCTGGAAGCCAGGGCGACCGCAACGATGCAGATTGGAAATCGCCGGAGGCGGCCTGGGTTTAGGGTTTAGGGTCTTTAGGGTTTAGGGTTTAGGGTTTAGGGTTTAGGGTTTAGGGGGCGTCTTGCATAAGGCTTCCTCTAATCGCGGCCTCAGGTTTAGCGTTTGTGGTCCTTGGCGTGTCGAGGCCATCCCGAAACCCTAACCCTAAGTAAGTCAAAACCCTGCAGACAGGGTCGAGGAGGAGGTTTGAAAACGTCCATGCTGCTTCGTGGTACTAAACCCTGAACCTTAAAACCCTAAACCCTAAACCCCAAACCCTAAACCCTAAACCCCTATATAAACCCTAAAACCCTAAACCCTAAACTCGAAGGGGTTGATTCTAGGGTTCGGCCTCCGGCTTTAGGGGCAGCAAGGGGGCGTTTCAAGCCTCGAGGGTCGGACTTGAGGGCTTGGGCTTCAGTGCCCAGGGTCCGTTTAGGCTTTGGGGCTTTGGGTTTAGGGTTTTGGGGTTTGGTTTAGGGTTTAGGCTTTAGGGTTTGGGCTTTGGGGTTTGTTTAGGGCTTAGGGTTTAGAGTTTGTTGAGGGCTTAGGGTTTGGGGTTTAGGGTTTTGGGTTTGTTGAGGGTTTAGGGTTTAGGCTTTGTTTAGGGTTTAGGGTTTTGGGTTTGTTGAGGGTTTTGGGTTTTGGGTTTGTTTTCCTTTTAGGGTTGGAGGCTTGTACAAACTTTCGTGCAGAGGCTGTGTGCGAACCACATGAGCCTGCCAAACGAACGCATCATCAACACCATCATGAACAACAACACTGCGTGATCTTCTTGACCGAGTCTTCGCGCTTCGCCAACAGCAGAAGACACATGATCCTCGTGCTTGTCGTTGCGACCAGCACTACCGTAACAGCACCTCACTCCGCAAGCCACTGCAGTCAACCCCAAACCTATACATACCTGCAGCCCGTGACTGAACTCTCAAACCCACGAACAATCCCCTCCGAAGATGCGGAGGTTTCAGCAACATGGCACCGGCTGAGAGACACTACAAGGCCGGAGGCTTACCAGAAGGATCCAACCCAAAAGGCCAGAAGCCCCCTGACCTCGAAACTCTCAACCCCCCTCCCCCCCTGCAGCTGGATGACCTTCTGGCATGACTGCTGCCCTCATGGGCGCGAAGAGAGCCTCTTTGCCGGGGTCTTGGGCTGGGGACTACTGAATGTCTTCTGGGCTTGAGGGCTGAGGGCCCTAAACCCTAAACTCTATGCATTGGCAATGTTGACTCAGAGCCCCCGATGCATCAAACTAAACTTCGTGCTAATGCCCTGAACCTCTGGTCCCAAACAAAAAAGATGCCCCCTACTCTAAACCCTAAACCCCAAGCCTATTCAGGGTTTAGGGTTTAGGTTATCAGGGCACACCATCCCAAGTAGCAGCTGCAGGTGTGAGTCACGGAAGCCAGTAAAAGGATTCCTTTAAGGGGTACTATAGGGGTTCTAGAATAATGTCCCCCTTTAAGGGGCAGTACAGGGTGCAAAAATCAGGATTCCTTCGTGTTTTTCCTACGAAGGTTCAGCAAACGGACTATACGGGGTCCTATGGAAGGTGACCTCTGATCTTGAGGCCCCCCAGCCGTCTCGCAGAAGCCCGGATTTCGGCTGAGGACCATCGATGTCCAAGACTTATCCCCGACTTCCGGTCAGAGAGACCCCAGAAACCTAGGCCTCGAATCCAAAACAAAAACTCCCGGACCCCGATCCCAAGAACTTCAGACTCGGACCGTGGATCGCGGACCCTGTGAAGCGAGCAAGAGAGTCTCTACCTGATGCTTTCTGTCCTTTCTCAAACTTCTGTGCTGAGGACCCTGCTTCGAATGCAGCTCATAAAAGGATACCAAGATCACACGCTACTGTATACCATATACTGTTATATGCTATTATATAGAATTATATAGAACTCTATACTATTGTATAGTAATTGATGAAGAGTTGCAGCTGTTGTGCTCAAGTCAACCAGCTTCCTGGCCCCGACCGGCCTGGGATATCTCCATGGCGGCATCATCAGGCGCAGCTGAAATGCGCCGAGCTGTCGCTTGGCTGGCTTCTAGAAGTCGCTGAAAAGTCAAATTATCTTTCAAACTGCGTGAGGAGATTAGTGTCTAAGACTAGGTTACGTGAAAATTGAGGTGCGCTGGACCCTAAACCCTCAACGCCGAGGGGCGAAGTTCTTGGTTTGCGGGGGCTACGGTAGGGTTTAGGGTTAGGCTTTCGGAAACTAACACGCAGGAGATTCGGATCGGAACCACCCGATTTTCAACTTATGTTCAGAACTGTTGGGTCCGCATCAAGCTGTTGCAGCTGCATTGCGCGAGCGCCATGATGAGCCCAGGGGGGTGGTTGTCGCAGTTGCGGGGCCTGCGGCGGGGACCCCAACATAGAAGCCTAGAGTGAGCCATGTAAACCTCAACAGGCCGTGTGAATAGCTCCCATACATCATACACCAAGCCCATGTTCTGATGAAGCTTGCTAAACCCTATACCCCAAACCCCGAACTCAATGACGAAAACTAAATTTAACTAAATCCTCGAAGGCGAGGACCTCAAGCCAGCGACATTCCGTCCGAAGCAGCCAGCTAGGGCCGCGAAAGACTAGAGCTTGGAAAGAGTACAGGAACAAGGAGTATGAAAATAGAAGCCTGCCTCTACGTACGCCCAGAAGGGCATTTAAGGGTCATCATACAGAGGGGAAGAATTCTAACACCTCAAGGCCGCGTATAAAATCATCCCCATGCCCTTACAAGGCGTAGGGCTTTGGGGTATTTCTGAAGCCCTCTTCTTTCTGCCTGCGTCCGCAGAAATCTGTGGCACAGGATGGTGAAACCAGAGAGGACCTACAAGCTGGAATGGAAGGCGGCTTCCCGGAGCTTTGTAGGGTTTAAGGTTTGGGGTTTAGGGCTTTCGGGGTTTAGGGGTATAGGGGTTTAGGGTTTAGGGGTTTAGGGGTTTAGGGCTTTAGGGCTTTAGGGGTTTAGGGGCTTAGGGGTATAGGGGTATAGGGGTTTAGGGGTTTAGGGGTTTAGGGGTTTAGGGTTTAGGGTTTCGGTTTTTAGGGTTTAGGGGTTTAGGGGTTTAGGGCTTCAGGGGCCACCGATCCAAGAGCTGGAATCATAGCTCCCGGCATAGCCTTTGCAAGGGAGCCCTCAGGGCTTTTCAGAACCCCTATACCCATCGGCCCCTAAGTGGTTCCTTTTTGGGATTACCTTATAGGATTCTAAATATAAACCACAAAAACGAACTACTTAGGGGCCTATGGGTAAATGCCTGAACGTTACAATTCCCTGAACCACCGTCCCCTACACCCTGAACCCAAACCGCTCAAAGGTTTAGGGTTTTTAGGGCTTAGGGCTTTTAGGGTTTAGGGCTTTTAGGGTTTAGGGCTTAGGGCGTCTGATGATACGGACGGGAGAGCCTCCCACTCAGCAGCAGCTGTGAAACACGTCAGGCCATGAGGCGCTGCACATGCACTTCGCGGTCCCTAGGAGCCGGGGTTCAGATTTAGGGTAAAGGGTTTAGCGTTTAGGGTTCAGGGTTTAGGGTTTCGGGGCTTAAGATGCTGCTTCGTGTCTTTTGGGAGGGGTTCCGGCTGCTTGCCGATCAGAAGGTGATCCAACCAGGCAACTTCTAGGGCTTTCGGAACTGGGATTCGCCTTTGCGCTGTCTAGGTTTAGCCCTTCGAATGGCACCCTGAAAACATGAAACCTTAAACCCTAAACTCCCTACACCCTCAACCCTAAACCCTCAACCCTAAACTCCCTAAACCCTCAACCCTAAACCTCTAAACTCCCCTATAAACCCTAAACCCTAAACTCCCTAAACCAACCTCAACCCCCTCTGCCCCCAAAACCCTCAGTCTCACGCCCTTCCCTTGAGCTTCAAAACGCCCAACCCCCAGGGGGCTTCCAAAAAGCCTGAAGCTGGTAGACTTCGTGGGATTCGTTCTCAGGGGCCCTAAGCAGTCATGAGACCTCCAGGGTTGAGGGCTTAGGGTTTAGGGTTGAGGGTTTTTTTGGTCTAGGGTTTGGGGTTCAGGGCTTAGGGTTTAGGGTTTAGGGTTTTTTTGGTCTAGGGTTTGGGGTTCAGGGCTTAGGGTTTAGGGTTTAGGGTTTTTTTGGTCTGGGGTTTGGGGTTTAGGGTTTAGGGTTAAAGGGGGCCAACATCTCGAGAACAAGAGGCTGGTGCTTCCAGCAAACGAAATATGCTGCTCTTGTTTGGCATCCTTTCTTTTTGACTGCTGGACTGGAAATATGCGACTCCTGAACCCGCTCCTTGAAACCTCCTAGACCCTAAACCCAAAACCCCTAAACCCTAAACCGTACACTGGCACCTCCCCCAGTTTTGGGGGTGGAGCCTTTTCGATCTCTATCGGCTCGGCGTTTGGATTGACATCTGCGGCCGTTCACGAGCCGCTGCGGTTTCCAACACAGCAGGGCCAAGTATCCTGTCCGAGGCAGTCGTGTAGCCTACTTCAGGGTTTGGGGGATCAGAAATGTGTCATGGCCCGACGTGGCCACAAAAACCCAACCCCCCCCCCCCCATACATCAACAATCCTCGATTCTGCAAGCTCTCGGCCAAAAATGGCCTCGCCCTGCATCCTAAGCCAAACCAAAACCTATACCTGGACTCCCCAACTCACCCAGCCCTAAGCACAACAATGGGCATGCCGCAGCCTAAGCCCTAAACGCAAGGTGCTTCGGCTGGACCCAAGGATGTTGCTGCGAAAAAGTGTTCTGGCCTTTATGTTACAGGTTACGATCGTTCTCCAAAGTCGGCCACACTTCCCAGAAGGACCCCAGGTTTTGAGAGAACCGCCCACAACTTGAAGACCGAATTATCGGAGGCTGGGGTTCCCGGGAGGCCTTGCTATCGCCGAAGATAAGGCTCAGGTGTTGAACCTAACTCTACACCCTAAACCCAACACCCTAAACCCTAATTCCTAAGCCCCTAAACCCTAAACCCTAAACCCATCGGCGGCCTAAGGTTGCCATCCTCGTCGGTCACGCCAAACCTGCGCAGGACCTTGGCAGGGATCTTCAGGCTTCAGGGCTTTAGGGTTTAGTACGCATTTAGGGTTTAGGGGTTTAGGGGTTTAGGGGTTGAGGGTTTAGGGTTGTCGGATGTTCTGATTTTCTAGGGTTTGGGGTGTGTAGGGGCTTGCAGGGCTTGGAGTTTAGAGCTTAGGCCTTGGCATTGAGGGTAATTAGGGCTTAGAGGGTCTCCATAGCTTTGCGTTTTGTTTGCTTAAGGCTCAATTCTGTCAGGCCGTCCATAAGTAGGAATATACCATAATTCCCATAGTTTAGGGTCCTTATGGCAATGCAGGATTTTATATCATCAACAGTAGCAGTCTCGAGGACCTCCATTGATGGTACGTGGTTGTAGGAAGGTCATGACCAGAGCACCTATACCAAACCCCTAGCCCGCAAACCCACGGGTCAGGCTCCTTATGCGAATTTTCTTGATGTACTGCCCTAAACCCTAGCCCCCAAACCCACTCTAAGAGGTACTCTTCCGGGCGAAAGGTAAAACCGAAGCTCTGCAAGCCCGCCTCCCCCCCTCCCCCGCATCTGACAAGCTCCATTGCATGGGAGAGGCCGTCACGATCTCGTGATCCACGATGTCGAGACCCAGGCTCAAGGCTAACCTTGTTTAGGTCTTAGGGTTTGGGGTCTTAGGGTTTTTGGGCTTGGCGTTCTGTGGTCTCGAGCCTCTGCGTTCGAATGCTTGCTGGGATGCCTCCTCCAAGGGTTCTGCAGGTGATCATTGTGCCTGCTCTTTCCGGCCTGGCCAACACCCGGATGGGATCGAACCGCAACCCCCCAAGACACCAAAACAAGACAGCGCATGCACAACATGTACACACATACATGCCATACACGATACTGTAGCATACAACAAGCGAACCGTGCATGCATGCATACAACAACCGGCTAACAGAAATAACAATGCATCAACAGACTAGTACGCGCGAAGCCGTGTTGATGGAATGTAGTCGATCAACGGCCTGACACCAGAGCCCCTCAACCAAGACGAGTTGCTCTTTCAGCCGATCCGGGTCAACGCCGTCCTTTTCGAGTTGCAGGGCTGAGAGTTGCGGCGTCCCGATTGCTTTTTTTATGGTGATGTGAAGAACCTGGATCCCTACTAACAGGTACCTCGAGACCTGCCCGACCTCGGATTCGGGTTCCTGTCTCGGGTGTTGGGGTGCAGGGACCCCAGTTTGTTCTTGAAGCCCTAAACCCTAAACCCTAAACCTTAAACCCTAAACCCTAAACCCTAAACCAAAATCTGAAACACCAAAGAAGGCCCCCGGCTGGATCTTCCATCTCCGGCTCGCCCTTCAGCGCGGCCAGCTTCTTCGCGCCTTTAGCAGCAGTCGCCGGTTCAAGCTTGGGTTTAGGGTTTAGGGTTTAGGGCTTAGAATTTAGGGGTTTAGGGGGTTAGGGTTTAGGCGTTTAGGGGTTTAGGGGTTTTTAGGGTTTAGGCGTTTAGGCGTTTAGGGGTTTAGGGCTTAGGCGTTTAAGGGTTTAGGGGTTTGGGGCTTTAGGGCTTTAGGGTTTAGAGTTTAGGGTTTAGGGCTGCGTCTCAGAAGTTCAAGCAAGAGGGCAAGCTGGGCGAGTACTGAACGGTCTGGGATTTGGATGTTCGGCCTTGCGAATTATAGTCCTAGGGCCTTGGGGCTTTCAAATCCTGAATTTCAAGAGTCTGGGCTCTTTGGAAGCTGTTCCCTTACCTTACCTCGTCCAACTCCGGTTTCGGTGTCTTTGGGTTTGCAGGTTGGAGTACAGCTTCTCCCACCTCGGGAGCCAGCGGCTTGAAGGGGAACATCAACGAACGGCCAGCTTCAAACCCAGATGCCGCACACACACTTCTCTTAAAGTCTACAGCGATGCATAAAGAAACGCTAGACCGGGACTGATGCAAAAGCAAGCTTGACCCAACCCCAAGCCCGAAACATCACGGGATTTGCATTGAGGGTTTAGGGTTTGAGGTTGAACCCTAAACCCCTAAACTCTAAACCCTAGACTCTAAACCCCTAAACCCCAAACCCTAAACCCCAAACCCTAAACCCCAAACCCTAAACTTCAAATCCTAAACCCTAAACCCCAAACCCGAAACCCTGAACCATAAACCCCTTAACCCTAACCCCACCCAGGTTGCGGGGTCGTGGGGATTTGGGGCCTACAAAGCCTGGGGCCCGAATCGGACCTCTGAGGCCGGCGCAGGCAATTGGGTCTGCCTGGGCTGGGTTTCGGTTTTAGGGTTCGGGTTTGGGGTTTAGGGTTTAAGGTTTAGGGTTTAAGGTTTAGGGTTCATGGTTTAGGGTTTAGGGTTTAAGGTTTAGGGTTTAGGGTTCAGTGTTTGGGGTTTAGGGCTTAAGGTTTAGGGTTCAGGGTTTTTTTGTAGGGTTTAGGGTTTAGGATTTCGGGAGGGAGCAGGAGGAGAAACTTCCCCCTGCAACCTCGCCACTACTCTGCTATTAGCGCGGACTCACTAACTCGTAAACCCTAACCCATAGGTCCTAAACCCTAAACCCTGACCCCCAAACCTGAGGCCCCTAACTGCTAGATCGAAGTCCCGACTCCTTGGAAGAGCAACCCACTCGCCAACCAGATGCATGCACGGATGATACGTGGAGAGGTTTCGGAGGCGTTTCACAACACACTCAAAGTAGAGCCATCTCCAAGCCGAAGCAAGAAGCCTAGGTTTCACACGAAAGCTAGGCGTATACCGAATGCTGGGCTTAGATCTGAAGGAGTTCGAGCTTTACAAGCTTCGGGCTCATGGTACCGGACTAAGGATGTAGACATTTCTGGAACAACGCGAATGAGTTTTCGGGTGTGGGAGTAGGGCATTTCGGGATGAGCACAGAAAAGCATTGATCATGTAGACCAACATGGCGAGAAGAAGACCGACCTAGTTGGCATTCTCGATACATTAGCAAGAATGTTGCTTTTGTCGTATGATGCTCACAAAGAGCGCGCGACACTGCCCATGGACCTTGTGATGGTTCAGCAGTTCAGCAGATGATGGCCAACATCGTGATCGCCCTTCAATAACGCAACCACCACGATAAGCATCATCATCTTTAACATGACCATGCACAACACTACCAAGTGATGGTAATCGTACTACGAGCATCAGTCGGAGCAATCACACAAAACCACACAAGTGGCGATACACACAGCTGCGATACACACAGCCAAACAACGGTAGTGCGTAATAACCAGCAATACCGAAGAACTCTCACAAAGTGGTGAGCCATAGTCTGGATCCCGTACTGTGCAGCCAAGCAACGTATGGAAATTGCTTCGGTCGCGCCTGAACGTATTTAGCACCGAAGACTACTAGTCTTACCGGTACCTTTTGTTCGGGCCCCTACATTGTCTGGTAAGTTTGCGACGATGAACACAGCGCCCCAGACCCCAATTGTAGTTTGTGGCTTCGGGTTGTGGGTGCCGGGTTAGTGCTTATGGTTGAAATTGAGCGGCTTACACACTTGCCGCAAGTTTACACTCCTCCCCCGACCTCTTAGCCCTAATCACGGCATTACATCCCAAAGCCCACATCCTCAGTGTCTTTATGAGAAGAGCCCCTAAACCCTAAACCCTGAACTTGTGCAAGACGGTCGAAGAAGAGCTCAGGGTCTTGAGGCCAGGGCTCCAGGGTCTCGAGGTTGGGCCCATGCGTCCGGACTTCAGGTTTGAGAGCATTGTGCAAAATTCATGCGGGGCGTATACAGCATGCTGAGGGCTGCGGGTTTTTGCGGTAAGGGGTTGATCCCTGCCTCCAGAAACTGTAGGCAGCGTTCGTCGGCACGGGTGATGTACAGCGGCTGCCCCGCCATCGTCACCGTGGTCCCTCAGGCTCGCAGGTGTAGGGGTCTAGGACGTTACCTACCACCGACATATCCAGTTCAATCCACGAAGCCTCACACCCCACTGTTGATGATATAAATCCTGCATTACATTAGGACCCTCAACTATGGGAATTATGGTATATTCCTTATTTTGGGTAATGCAGGATTTATATCATCAACCGTATGAGCATCTACGACCTACGATTGACCACGACATTCCCCCTCCCTTGAAAAAATGCCTAAG